GGCTTGATCGGAAACAGCACCATCGCCTCTGCGAGTACCAAAGCAGCAGCAGCAGCAGGAGCAACAGCGTTACCGAGCGCGACAGCAGGAGCGAGAAAGAACATGTCCCATGCTTCGCTGGCCGCAATCGCCGCCCCCGCCCCGCACGGGAGGCTGGGCGATGGCACCGCCGCCGCCTCGGCACCACGACGATCTCGGGGGGACCCCGCCCGCGCCGGCGGAGCCCCTCCCAGCTCGCTACCCCCGACTTTGACCGATCTGCCGATGGCTCCCGTGTCCACGTCGCCGCCGGCCGGTGATGACGGCGGTAAGCTAGTGGTGGCGGCGGTGGCGGGGCCGGTCGGGGTGACGACGCCGGCGCCGACCAAGGCGCGCCCCCCGCGGAGCTCCTCGCGACCCAGGAACCTCCGCTCTCAGCAGGCAGAGGCCCCCGCGGGCGCGGGCGGAGAAGAAGAACGCCGCCTGGAAGTGGACAGAAACATGGCGAGGCGGGCGCTGCTGAACTCGGCGGTGCGCCGGGGGGGTTCGGGCGGTGGCAGCGACGGAGGCTATTCGTCCGGAGGTGGAGCGGGGGGCTGGGTCAGGGCTGATGGTGGTCACGGCAGCAGCAGTGGGGGCAGCGGCGGCGGCGGCGGCGGCGGCGGGAGGTCGGCGGCGAGGCGCGGCAGCTCGGCCAGCGAAGGGGCGGCGGCGGCGGCGGCGGCGGAGGGCTTGTCGCCCGGCGGAGAGGAAGGCAGCGCCGACCGGCTTCACGGGAAAGGGTTCTTCTCTGCTTCACCGAGAGAGGGAGAGAGTGGAGATAGCGGCGGCGGCGGCGGCGGCGGCGGCGTGGTGAGAACGGTCTTCCCGAAGCCCGGAGGCGGCAGCGGCGGCGGCAGCGGCAGCGGCAGCGAGATGCTCTCCCCCCTTCGTTCGCCCATGCCCCGCCGCCAGGCGAGCGGGGGTCCGTCGACGGCGGCGGCGGCGGCGGCGAACGTTGAGAGTGGTCGCCGGCTCGCCCCTGCGGTCGCGACGGAAGAGGCCTACAACCCCGCGTACAGCAGCGTGTGGGCTTCCTGGATCGGGCTGGGTCCATCGGCGCCGGAAGCAAGGGGAGGGGCGACAAACGGCGCGACAAACGGCGCGACAAACGGCGCGACCAACGGCGCCTCGGCGAGCAGCAACGGCGTTCCGAGGGCAACGAACGGGGCGGGGGGGTCCAGGGAACCCGCGCAGCAGGCGGAAGGTGCTGCCAGGAATGGTTCGAGGGCCGCGTCGCCGCTGGGACAGATGATGATGGTAAGGAACGAGAGAGAGAGAGAGAGAGATTGTTTGGTGGTTGTCGTATCGTTTGAGGGCGGTTGGTTGTGTTTCGCTTTTATTTTTTGGGAGGGGGTTGGCAAACCGGTCTGGCGTCGTTTTGTTGTGGCGGTTGTTGGAGGCGTTCACGTTTTTTGCGGGTGGATGTTGTGTCCAAATCGTATCGCATGTGGCTTAACTTGTATCTTGGATCCGGAGAACAGGCTATACTAGCTTCCCCCCTAGCACCCCCTCACGGGGCCCCAGATTATGTCCTTTAGAAGTATCGTTTTCAGGATTTAACCGCCCTGAGACTGGCGTATTTTTCATTGGTCAGCCGGGTAGCGCGGCCGATTCTAATAATTAAGACACACACAAAGCGGTACACACACACACACACATACATGAACCATTTTTCCGCCGCTGTGGTGCGTGCTTCATTTTGTTGGCATTTTTTGCTTTTTTTTGCAGGGTCTCTTTCGAGGCGTCGGGAGCCCACCTCTCCAGCTCAGCCCGGATCGCTTTGTTCCCGAACAGATGGCCGATGGTGGTGGTGGCAATGACGACGACAACATGAGCAGCAGCAGCAGCAGCAGCAACAGCAGCAACAACAGCGGCGGCGGCGGCGGCGATGAGAACAGCCAGAGCGCTCCTGCCGCCGCCGGGGGGGCGCAGGCGGCGGGAGCCGTGCTCAACGCCGAAAGACCCGAGTGAAGACAAGAGGGATCTTGGGGGCGTCGAAGTCTGTCAGATCCGCGCCGAGAGCGGCTGCGACGTCCCGCGCCGGTCGTCCGTGAATGGGCACAAGCCTTCGAAAGTTCCCGGCCTGATTTATGCTTCCGCCAATAAAATAACACAAACTTTGATGACGTCGGCGCTCTGTGTCGCTTGGTCGGCGGCGAGGGAATAATGCCCTACGAGGGCGATGGTGTGTGATCATCGGTTGTTGACGGAACAGACGCAGAAGCGCCGGGCGGGCCTCCTCCCGAGCCACTGCTTGGCAACCAGACGGGGGCGAGCATCCGTTATGGTAGGGGGCAACAGGGAGCACAGTGGTGGCATCGTGGAGTAATATTTTTGGAGAGGTCGATACACGACGATGCTCAAGTTCTTGTTCGATACCAACAGGGGGGTCAAGGCACCACCACGGTGGCGGTTTTATTTTCTTCAATTTTTGATATTTATGTGAGCATGAGCGCTCGCCACGGCAGCGGTCTTTGGCCTCTCGACGGCGGGAAGGACACATGCGAAGATTTTGATTTTGATGGGTTAGCCCGGTCTGGAAGGTTCAGCCATTTCGTTGTTGCGTATTCTGCAAGGTCCGTATAATGGTGTATTATAACACGGCGTGTTTTGTTCGTTTGCGGTGTTGAAAACGTTTTTTTGATCTTGCTATCTTGTCTGAGATGACGTGCTTGTCTGCGAACGTTTTATGTTCCTTTTTTTTTTGCGTCTATTTCCTTCGATTGTGTGCTGTCAAAGCAGAACAAGAGATGGCGAGAGCGCATCCGACGCCTGCCTGCGTTGGGCATTTTCGAGGAACAAATAAGCAAGCTGTCCATGTCTCGGTCATCGTTTGGCGATTCTGATGTTGTCGAACGCAGGCCTCGCATGCGCCCGTGCGTGCTGCGACATCAAACCCACACACACCACACCCACTCACAGTCAGTCCGCTCACGCTTATCTTGGCGGCGAGGCGGTATTTTCGTATTGTACCGCTTTTATATTCTTGCCCTTCCACGTATCACTAGCATGTAAGTAGATTGCTCTGCACCAACATCATATTTGTTGTTGGGGGGAAAAGCCTCCGTACTGCTAGGTCAAGACACCTGGACGAGATGGATTTTTGTAGCATGTGCCATACGTGTGTGTGTTTGCAGCGGCTGGATTTGTTGTTTCTACCCCTTGCCGTCCTTCGTCCACGCGTGTTCGTATTGCAAACCGAAAAACAGTAGTAGTGAGTGGTCATGACGAAGCTCCTTTTTTCTAGCCCCGGCTTGTACGAGGAGATTGTAAGTCCAATGTAGCAGCGGGTAGCAAGTGATCTCGATTTGTTTGTTGTGTTCCCACCGTGTGGTTTCCTTTGATATGGTCAGATGGGTAGTCCAGAGAGAAGCTTATGTCGTGTACAAATAGCCGAGTCGCGATGCAAATGTTGGAAGGGCGGGCGGGATACATGCCGCCCCGTCGGTGGTGGGTGGGGTGTGATGCTTGGGAACAGCTTATCGCTGGTCTACGCCGGGTACGCGTGCAGGCATAGTTGTGTAGCACCGCAAGCCAGGAGGTAATAGACAGGAATACGCGGCGAAATCATTACACAGTCAAGCAGGGATTCCGCAAGGGTTGGGAATTGGAGAGCCCTCGTTCTGCTGTGTAGTCTCTAGGCACGGAGACACTGGATGGGATAATAAAAGGAAGCGAGAGAAAAATGTCATGTTGCTTGCAACCGGCAGATTTGCACCCCGTTGTTCTCGAGAGGGCAACATGATGATGAGAGTGTTTACGGCCCCTCCCGTATCATCCTGCACGACCAACAAAACTATCTGTGAACACGCCGTAATCTTCTTCCCATTAAAATAAGAACTTCAACCAAGGCAGCAGACCAAAACGACCAAAGCAACTACCACGGTTTCACGGGCTGTCTGGTTGCTGCTGCTGGTGCTGCTGCTGCTGCGCCGATCTACCCGCCTTCTTCATGCGGTACACGCACGCCCGTATCCGCGCCCCCGGCACGTGGTGCAGCAGGGCCGACCCCTGCAGGGCCCGGATGATCTCGTTCTCCTGAGACAACCCCAGTCGGCGGCGGCGGCACGCCTCCTCCACCGCGGGCCGCAACACCCTCCCGCGAGACACGAGCACGTAGACGTCCCTGGCCCTGTCCAGGAAGTGCAGGGCGCCGTCCCTGTGCAGGCTGGACATGACCGCCCTCAAGAGCTCGAGCGCCTTCGCCTGCTGCATGACCCCCCGCGGTGCCGCCGCCGCCGCCGCCCCAGCCTCCGCCGGCCGCTGCCCCACACTAGTACCCGGTCGCGCTGCTGCTGCTGCTGCTGCTGCTGCTGCTGCTGCCACGACCCGGGCGGCAACGGTCTTCAGGGAAGGGTCGTCTCTCACGTCTCGCGCGAACTGGAAGCGGAGGTGTTCGTCAGGACCCGCGAGGCTTTCCTCCTTGGCCGCCAGGCGGGCGAGCAGCGCGTCTCGGAACTCGAACGTCGGGTCGAGCGCCAGGGGCGCCGCCACGCAGCGGCAGTACCCGACGGCTTCCGCGTACGCGGCGCCGCAGCCGCACTGCGTCGGCCTGGCCTGGCTCGATCCGGCCACGAGCTCCTCGTCGATGTAGTCGTCGCGCTGCGTGTTCGGTTTTGGGGGGTCGTCGTCGTCGTCGTCGTTATTTACGCGACGTCGTCACCGTTGCCAATCGAATCGAGCAGGGGGGTTCGCAGGTCAGATAGCTGAGGGGGAGGGTGGGGACAGAACCGGAGCTTCGATCGTTTGGTTGGGTTCGAAGCTGCTGTAGCAACAGGGATCGGGTCAGAATCGAGACTGGTTACAAAGTTGATTGCCATACTTTACAGCTGCTCGGTTTGTGGATGTGGGCGGTTCAACACGAAAGCATCGACAATCCTAAGCTATACCCAAGGTGTGGTACGGGGTCGTGGAGGGCTGACAAGGGTGGAGATGATTCATGAAGGTATTTTTCACCACGATCGTATCCCGACAAATCATGTTCCAGGCAAGAACGCTTTACGTGTGTAGACGCAAACGAAACCGTATCGAAGCGAAAACGTATCGCCCACGACGCTCCCAAAAAACAATTGTACAACGAGCATTTGACATCAATCCACGCTTTGGCCTCTGGACTACATGAGGAGGCAAGCGTCAACCTGCTGCCATTTTTTTATTCTCTGGTGTGGCAACTTGGAACTGCTCTCACCTGGAACGGAGGGCGGTAGACCGTTTTCCCGAGCTCGACGCAGCGCAACCAGTGCAAGGCCTCCTGGTTGGGGTCCGTGGGCTTGCTTGCCGAGGTGATGGCCACCTCTCGCGCCCTGGCCGGTCGGGTTTTGTTGCAAAGCGGTGAGGCCGCATCGGGAGCGTGGTTCAAAACTACGGACATCATCCGTCTTTGCAGGTGACAGCTGTAAAATTAACCAACGACGCTGGTATACACATATTCTGCGGCCGTTTCGATCACGTCGCGCTCGGAGAAGTCTAGTCGAGAGGCAGCACAATGTTGTCGTTGTCCCCCATTTCGCTCACCCTCTGTAGCGCTTGAGCTTTCCCTGCACGACCAGCAGCTCGCCCAGCTCGTGCCTCTCAGAGTGCCCGCGGTGCGTGGCCCCGGTGCCGGCGTGCCGCTCGTACTGCGTGCACGGCAGGAGCCCGGTCCCGTCGTCGAGTATGTACTTCACTGTTGGTTGTAGGTTGGTTTTTGGGTTCGGGCACACAGACAGACGGACATGTGTGAACAAGTTGTTTTCTTGCTGCCCGTATTCCGCGCGCACAAGTTTTATTTGAGGAAAGATGAAAAAAAAAAAAACACCTTTACCGGAGGCGTTGCACCCTACCGTAGTGATCTGTGCAGGCACGGTGTCACGCGTCGGTGTCAACCCCAACACAACCACAGCCACACCTGTGACAGTTCGCACGGTTCGCACGAGTCCGAAGACAGCATAGTTGTTCACTCGGCACTACTGTAGGCAGACTGCTACATCGATAGCACAGCGGTGATCAACCATCTGTTGTATCGCCAACGACGTGTGGCGGACACATTAGAGCACGAAGCGATACATATATACAACGCACGGGTTCTTCGAGACAAAAGAAAGCGATGCACAATGGGTATTTGTATCATGCACCCACGGGGACCGCAGCATAACCTCATCTACACCCCTGGGTCAGCAAAGGCCCTATGGCCGCATCACATACAAACTTGGCAGGGTAGGTGGACTCAATCGATAGCAAAAGGAGTTACAGCATGAAAAATACAACGTCTCTGGGATGTTCCCCGACGACAGCGGTTTGTACGGGGTACCGTGTCCAAATACACGAGAATGCCTACTTTAGCCGACGCCAGCTTTGCCTCTCTATCCCCCCTCCCCTCAAGCGCGAGAATGCCCACCTTAGCCGGCGCCAGCTTTGCCTCTTCTATCCCCCCTCCCCTTCTTCCCACGATCTCTCACCGTAGCTGCCGGAGGCCTTGGTCGCACCCGGCTTGACGTGCACTACCACGCCCGAAACCTCTACTCGGTGGATGGCCTTGTTGCCGTGCAACACGTGAGAGTCGTCGATACCCCCTAGGGTTCCCAGCCCGTGCACATCCCTTATGAGGAGCTTCACGTAGCTCTGACAATTGTTTTGTTCCGAAGCAAGCGCACGCATGAAGGAAGTGACCAACAAACGGACGTCGGGCCGTTGGGTAGGTACAATAACGGCAGGAGTTACGCCGCAAAAATGGCGGGACAAGCGAGAGCCGAGAAGGGGGGGGGAGGAGGTAAACAAAAAGCCAAGGGAGAGGGTCTGGAGGATTTGTATCTTTGTCCATCTTTGTCCCATCTATGCTGGGCGCCATCTGGGTGATTTACGTCTGCAGGGGCAGGAATAGCTATCAGCTGCTGCAAAAGATATCGTAGCGCGCGGAGGAGGTATAGACTACGGTGTGCTGCTGCGTCGCGGTGTGCCTCGGGAACGATCAGATATAAAACATGGCTGACTCCCGGGTCAGGTTTGCTTGGATGACGTGCAGAGGAGAGAGCACGCCTAACACCCAACACAACAGTTGAAAAAACATTCTAATGATGACGTCCCGATCTCCACCTTCGCCGAACCACTGGGGCATCTTGGTGCGTATTGAAAAACTCAAAGGTCTTCCCTGACAGCAGTGCCGTTTACGTAGCGTGCTGCTGCTACCACTAAAGCTGTTGCTGCTAGCCTGTACTACGGAGTACGCCATACAATTCCTAAGTTGCTGCTACGCCATTCTGCTTTGGCATGTTACCTACTGCTGCATATCGCGGCATACACACGCCCGTCTACACCATTTCGGTTCTTGTTTGAAGCACCAGCCGGGGTCAACCGGAAGAAGTACACTGTCGTCTTGCTCCTGCGGTGCGTTCGTCCCTTCGATTTTCAAGGCGAGAACGGATCAGAAGTTCCTCCCCTCTGTCCTGTTGTGTACACGAAACCTATAACTATGTGTGCGCTATTCACTTCTAAAGTGCGAGCCTTTTTACTAAGGAGAGATTCGAACCCCCATCCTAGAGCCAGAAGCTTTTACGACGTTTCCCACCGAACCACTACAGTAGGTAGGCCACCGTGCGTGAACCGAACTGGATGCCTAGAGAAAAAGTGGGGGTGCCGCCGTTGCAAGACTGACTGAAGGGGGCGGAGGGGGGGCTGTCAGGGAATATTGATGGCGTTCCCCAAGTTTAGTCGATGGTTGCATGTTCGCCTGTCTCCGTTTCGTGCGTTAGGGAGGTATGTAGTCGAGGCCACGACTGGGAGTGGGGTACAGTACCTTCTGAGAAGGACAATTATTACTTGAGAGGCTTACACTCATCTTGTGGGTCCAGGAGCGTTACTCCAGCCTAAATGCAAAAGCGATCAACCCGACGGCTTCCCATCCGCAGAATTTAGGACCCAAGACTGCGTGATTTGACGCACAGTGGCTGCCAACCATTCTACTTCTATGAACTGAGGCTTGGAACCCGCGAGCACGATGCGTGATAATCCTGGCAGAGCTGGAAATTTGGGCCGCTTTCACCTCTGCCTCTGCTCACTCGCCAGGTGGCTACAGGGCCGTAAATAATGCCTTTCAACCAAGGCCGCCAAAATAGGTCACCGTCACCGATATGTGACGTGTAAGATGAAAGGTGTGCCGGAGCCGATGGTCGTAGATCGTCGTAGATCGGAATCGGGGCTCTTGTTGCGTTTGCTATGCGGGTGGGGGAGCTCCTGACAGGAATCTTGATGCAGAGCGCAGAGCACAACCAGCCGATCTCTCGTGGGCTATACACCCTTGTCTCTCTGTTCAAGCAGTCTTCGGTCCTAGATACGAAGACCGTAGCACGCAGTTGCGCTGGTGATGGGAATCGCGTTGACACGTGCCGGACTTACAGTACAAAGTTGGGACACCCGACGTCGGTAGCGATTCCCCAATTTCCTACTCAAGGTCTGGTCTGCAAGCCTCCTTACAAGGTGCGACCTTTCGGCACGCATAGAGATAGGACACGAGGCGTGATGGCAGACATCAGCGGAGAAAAATCATCTGGTCCAGGTGATGCCCAAATGATGACTCTCGCAACGAACGTTCAGCCTCGACTAAGGCGGTGCTTGTCTTGTCACCCGGTGTGGCTTTGTGAACAACGGCAGTCAGTCTTTGGTGCATCCTGTGCGCTGCCAAAACAGTTGTGAACGGCAGTACTGCTATAGACTACAAGCATGAGGTGATTTGTCGGTAGTAGCAGCAGCATCGTGGTCGTTAACGATGGCCTGCACAACAACAAACGTGGTTACCTACAGGACAACAGCGGCGACTGCTGCTGTTGTTGTTGCACGCACAGCAGCTCACCCAAAACAAAGGATTGAGGCCCCATTCGTGCACCCGAAGTCCAGGAGTGTTAGATCCGTCTAGAGCTGGCTCTGTAGCTCGTCCTCCTCTCCCTTCCCCTCTTCGCTCCACAACAGCTTTCCCTGCTTCCGCCTCTTCTTCGCTAGACGCACGGTCGCGCTTCATCTGGTGCAGCGTGGGCTGAGAAGTCTATGAAGGTGTGGACCAGTGCGAGGTGCTGCTTGACGAACGGGGTTGGGAGAGTTCTCGAGTTCTCCGCGTTGCCGCTCGGGGGCGGAAGCGGCGCAATCTCGCTTTTTGTTGGGCCGCCTCCCGTCTTCAGCTCGTCAGCTCCCCGACAATCCTCTTCCCTTTCCTTTTCCGCCAGGGCAGTGCTGCCCCCAATATCGTGCCGCAAGACGGCGGAAATAGGCAGTTGTTCGAGTCTGTATTCGCTTCGGTGTCCAGCGCTGCCCATTCGCTGGCATAAATCGTCGCGAGCAAGCAAGAATCATATTTGCAGTGGCGATCTTTGGGCAAATCTTCCGCCTGGGTACTCTCAGACGGTGCGGCCGTCAGGATCTCGCAGCCTTTCTTTGAGTGAATGGAGCATAGGTACGTCTGTGACGGCGCGCATGCTCGTATTCGGGGAGTTACAGCTCACGTTGTCTTGTAGTTGTCGATGGAGGCCAATCCTACCGGCCAAGCTGTGACGAGCGAGCGACAAGGGTCGTTGTCCAAAAGATCCAAGAGAAAGTCGTCAAGATCTTCTCAGGTGCGGCAAACGCAGCATGCATTGCAGTGTAGAGGGTCTTTGTCCCAACAGACTGTCGGTTGGGCCTTAGCTCGCCTCGGTGTCGCGGCAGGGCTGTAGATCTTCTGCGGATGAGAACACTACGCCCTCCACCCCTGATAAGAATGGTGGCCATATGTAGACGGCATAGACTAGTCTATATGTATGCATATACTTTAATCCACATACGTCTGGATTATGTATTAAAGGGAGAAACCCCGTCAAACCCCGAAGAACACCACATTGACCTTGGGTCGACATTGACGACCTCGCTCGGCATCTGCTTCGTCGTGGGCGCGTGAACGCCTCAAGCAGGTTTTGATGTGTATCGCGGACTGCAAGTATGACGTTGTCCGAGCAGCGGCCCAGGCGAAAGGTTGGAAGCTCGTCAACGAGGACCCTGAAGCAAGCTCCTCCCGAAAGTGCCACGTGTACTGGATTGACGTGCCCGCCATCGTGGAGCGAATGCAACACCTACACAGGTGGCAACGCATCAACCACTTCCCGGGTATGTCCAACGTTGCGCGAAAGGGTCGCTTGGCGCAAAACCTCGACCGCATGCGGCGGACCTTCCCCCACGAGTACAGCTTCTACCCCAGAACTTGGGTGCTGCCCGTGGAGTGGGGAGCCTTCAAGACGGAGTTCGACGCCAGCGGAAAGTCGACGCGAACCTTCATCGTCAAGCCGGACAGCGGGTGCCAGGGCCGCGGCATTTTCCTCACCCAGGATCTCGAGCGAGTGGAAGCCACGGAGAGCCAGGTGGCCCAGCTTTACGTGCAAAGGCCACTCCTGATCGAGGGCTTCAAGTTCGACCTCCGTCTGTACGTCCTTGTCACCAGCGTGATCCCCCTGCGCGTGTACGTCTTTAAGGATGGCCTCACGCGGTTTTGCACGGAGGAGTATAGCCGGGCCTCTAGCGACAACCTTGGTAGGCGCTGCATGCACCTCACCAACTACGCCGTCAACAAAGGCTCCGACAACTTCGTTGCAAACGATCAGGCCGACCTGGGAAGCAAACGCAGCTTGCGCTGGCTCTTGGGCTGGATCGCGGCGGAGCGTGGCGGCCAGGAGAAGGCGGACGCGCTCTGGCGGAAGATGGGCGGAGCGATCACCAAGACCCTCGTGTCTGTGCTGCCGACGCTCCACCGAGAGTACCTGCATACGTTTGGCCACGACAAGGGCGTGCACCGTCCCGCTGCCACAAGTGCCACCAACACCACCGCCAACGTCGCCTCCAACACCGCCGACGCCAAAACCAGCGCCTCCACCAGAAACGTCGCTCGCAGCGATTCGAACAGGAACTGTGACGCGCGGCCACCGGTAGGAAGGGTTGAGGCTGAAAATACGGGAAGAAGCAGTTGGGACTCTGATTCGTGTAGAACCGGGGATTCTATCCGCGACGGAAATATCGTCGGTCAGATAAGAGGTTCAGAAGAGCAGCCCCCGCGACAACTGAGAGAAGACGAAGCTGCTTCTTTTTTCTCCAATGAGGCTCCTGGCAAGGAAAAAACTCTGGAAGAAGTAGAGTCCACGTCGCCACGAAGCTCAAGGGGAGCTGCAGGAGCTACCGGTGCCGTGGAGAAGGTTAGTGAAGCTGGTGGCAGCGGGACCCGACCAGGGATAGCAGAAGGTGGGGAGAGATGTGGAGGAAAGCAGGCGCAGAGCTACGACATTTCAGTCGATGGTAACGGCAAGACTGTTGCTGGAGCCAACCACCGCCGCGCGCACGCTGGTGGGGAGAAGGGGGAAGGCAAAACCGCTGGTGACAGCAAGGGTGTGGTGGAGGGCTCTCGCTGTGTGGAGATACTCGGGTTCGACTTCATGATCGACGCGGGGCTCAAGCCGTGGCTGATCGAGGTGAACCATCTACCAAGCTTCGCGACAGACTCTCCGCTGGACAGGCAAATCAAGGCCCAGGTCGTGAGCGCGGCCTTGTCCGTCCTGCACGCAAAGGCGGACGACAGAAAGAGGTACGAGGAGACCGCCAAGAGGGACGCGCAGAATAGACTGTACAACCATGACGCCTCGGCGGCGGGCACGGCGCAGAGAGAGAAGGAGAGGAAGGAGGCCGAGGCAGCCGTGGCAAAAATACGAAGAAAGGTGAGATTAGGAGTACATTGATGCTGAGTTTTCGACGAGAAGTTGTTCGATGCGTAGCTTGGGGCCATTGTTCGGTACGCAAACCTGTGGGGTCTAGCTGCTGAGGGGATTGATATTGGGCCACCACGGCCGTTTTGTAGGTTCGGATTTCAGGCTGCTCTGCGGTGTGTGGGTAGTTTATTTGCCGCCAATCAGCTTGACGTTGGCAGGAAGTCTGGTTGCGAATGTCCAGCAATATTTCCGGATTGCCTTCATGCAAGCGTTGTTCCGACGTGTATCCCGTGTAAACGCACCACGGGTGGTTTTGTCGCGTGGTGCGGCGTAGCCCAATCGCCGGAAGTTGCCTCGTTTCTGGCTCACCATGGCCGCCACTATTCCATCATTTTCTCTTGCTCCCCACCCAATACGCCATCTGAGGCGTCAGTTGGAGGCGATATACATGCGGTTCGCGCCGCACAAGCTCGGCAAGGTGGACCGCTTGCTCGTAAAATATGCCGGGGACGAGAACAAGCTGCTGCGGATTGTTCGGCGGAAGTACGTCGACACAGGTGAGGAAGAAAAGACGTCGTATACATTTTGAGGCACAACGCTCTTCTTGTCGTCAAAGAACAGTGATGGCGTTACCTGGATAGACATGTAGGGGGACCCAACGTCTGATACATGCACGCGCAAAGCGATGCACGCGCAGAGATGTGAAGGGCTTATGTGTTTGCAACAATCTCTCCCTGTTTACATCGAAGGGCGAGAGAATGCTACGTCTGCTGCCGCTGCGTCTGTGTCCGCGTCTGCGGCTGCGTCTGCGGCTGCTGAAGGGCCGGGATCGATCCCGGTCTCGTCTGGCGATAGCGAAGTCAGCGGACAGCAAGCTGTTGACCATCAACCCCCGCCATGGGCATCGTCACCGACACAGGCCGACACGGCACCGGTCCATGGGGGCGAGACCATTCCTCTTGGGGAAGCCGCACGGGACGGGCACCGATCTCGCCAAGCGCTCGTCAAGTCAAAGGCGAACTCAACGGAAGGACAGGTGCGTTGTGTTTGCTCCAAATGGGGGGGAGGGTGCGAGAGGGAAGCGAGGGTGGATGTTCAGACGCTGTTAGCAATTGGGCGGTCTCTATCGAAGCGCCGCTTTTTTAACCTTGTTCCACCACGTATCGCCTTGGTTGGCTCTCTTCTTCGTCAAGCTTTCCTTTTGTTACGGGAGGAGAGCAAGCGTGCGCGGGGGGGGGGGGATCTCTATGCCGAAGCACCTCACGTTCCACACTCGCCCCCCCATCTATTATGGCATGTTGTGCTTCCCCTCAACTGGTATACACACTCATTTTCTGAGTCCTTCAAGGCTGCGCTTTCGTGCCTGGGCTTTGATTGTAGCGTAAGAACCAACGCCCTCCGAGAACCACGAAATCCAGTGGAGAACCAACCATCCATACAGCAGGCTCCCCTACCCCTACTTGTGTGTGCTGCTGCTGCGCTATGCCCCCCTCAGACATCCGCGTGGGAGGAGCGTTTGGTTGATGGCACCAAGCCCAAGCACGGAGACGTCCACTCCGAGACCTGCCCCCCTGATGCCCGAATACTTGACCCACCCAGGGATCCGGGGGGGGGGGGTCCTGGAAAAGAGGAGGGCCCCGCCCCTGCATCGTCTTCGTCTTCTTGGGCGGTACAGGTGGGCACATCGGCGGCGCTGAGGGGGTATGGTTGTGGCAACTTCAAAGAGGCTAGTATGCATACAAGTAGAATGCTCGACAGTGACAGTGTCACGATCTCACAAGTATTTTTGGTCACTCTGTGTTTTGATGCGCGGAAGTTTATCACCCCTTTTCCATATTCCAATCAGCGTGCCCCCTCCCCTCGCTCCCCCCCCCTCGACGCTTGGAAACCGTTGAGCGCCAACGCAAGTCATCAGTGAACCTCGCTTCTCCTGTTTGGCACCAATCTTTGCTCAATCCATGCGTACTCCTCACAGTAGCAAGCAATAGCAACACTACCCACATGTTTGGTGTAGTCAACTGCCCATCCTGCTGTACATTTTACCCCCCGCCGAAAGGGACGCGCTTCGCCTCTCTAAAGCTGCACCGAGCTCACGGTACCGCACCCCATCTCCGATTCATGCCTCTCCCCGCTTGGCATAACAGCACGATTCGGAGCACGATCCGGAAGCTCTTGCGAGGGAGACCGAGATCCTGGAAGGCTGGGAACGCTTGCACCCTCCTCCGGAAGCACCGGCACCAACACGAGCACCAGTAGAAGAAGACTGTGTTGTTGGGCCGAGGAAGCCTTCCCCGCCGGCGGCGGCGGCAGCGAAGAGCGACGGCGGCAACGGCGACGGCAACGACAACGGCAGTAGCACCGTCAACGACGACGCCGGGCAGGAGGAGAGCATCAACGGGGGAGACGGTTTCGGTGGCGGCGGTGGCGGCGGGGTCAGAAACGCCTGCAGCGGTGGCAGCAAGGCAGGCGCGGCGAAAGGCGGGCGGAGAAGAAGAAAGCCCGCAGCTACCGTGGAGTCGATGATCCAGTGAGTTCGAATCCGAGACTAGAGGTTAACGCAGGGGGCTCGGCTTGCCCTACCCAAATCCAGGCCCTGGCCCGGGCCGTGGTCCAGTAGGATAGGGATAATTGTTCTTCGGCCTAGGGAAGTAGGGTTTGTGACATAGTAGAGAAGCTGCTGTGACCAGGGCTGTTTGTACAACGTTGTCGGGTGCATCGCTGTAGCTTTCCAAGGGTCCCCGACAAGAATCACGTGTTTTTGACTTCGCGGTGGGGTAGGGTTGTATGTCTCTTCCCATGCTTCCACGATCCCGCTGGAGTATTATTGGAGCGTGGAGTTCGTGACAAGAACGGTTCTCAAGAACGGTTCAAAACGAACCGGCAGGCAACCGTAATTTAGAACGCCGACCCTGGAACGAGCACCGGGGGACGGAACAGCAGTGGGGGGCTTATTTATATTGCAAACACGAGATATGGGTGGGGCATCTCTCATAGCCATTGCTTGAGCACCGGCGACGGACAGACGTGGTTGGTTCCTTAACGCCAAAAGCGACCTAGACGGAAAAGCTATCCGCATCTCCCCAACGCCGTCTGTCCAGCCCGTCTCTCACGGCTTTGTTGTTTCTCCCTCGACACCCAACGCGCACATTACATTTAGCTGACGCTGCTGTACCTACCCTGACCCCACCCCAACCTACGACCAAGGCGGGCTTTCGAAGACGATCGAAAGATGACCCTCCGGCTCAAGTGCCCCTTGCAACAGCAACGAGGAGGGGCAATGGACGCACAGGTAAGCTATCGTCGCCCTCGCTAGCTCGGTCTAGCGTTATTGTAGACCTGCCCCACGTGAATCCGACGTTTTGAGTCGTTTCTGTGGCAGCTACTGCGGTGAGACAATCGTCGTATGCCGTATACTTACAACTCTTTCAGCCACATACCTGTAGTTATTTTTTCGTCTGTGATCGTGAATGCGCGACCCACCTCACCAGATATATATTTTTTTTCTGTCGAAGTCCGACTTCCCCACACTACACCACCCCTGATGAGCGTGTGGCGCTGCCAACTCCACCACGACTTTGTACTCACACGGCACAATGGTGTGATGTGAGGAAACCGTGAAAGCTTTTGTCCGGAAAGTATCTGCCACCCGGTATTCGCTCGCCCGTAGGCCCGAGGTCCCTTCTTCTACACCGATGGTCGGTTTTTCTTCAGACCAACACATCCGTACACACGACCGTGCAGCGTTGCGCACACATCCGGAGTGCCTGCCCCTTTGCAGCTTCTTGCGTGTGCTTACTCAAACGGATCCGTGTGTTTCTTTTTTTCCTTTGGTTCGATGCGACACAATGATGATGATGATGATGATGATGATGATCGACGTAGATCACCACGAAGCTCCCTCAGATGGGGGCACAGCCTACGGCTACGGCAACGGCGGCGGGGGCGGTGGCGGCGGCGTTGACCACGGCGACCTCGGATCGGCAGGTGGGCTTCGGGGATACCTGCAGCTAGACTGCGGTTGTTGAGCTTCCGTCCCAAATGCTAAAACGTCGAGCCGACTACGTCGTGGTGCTGTTCCATGGCCCCTATCCTTCCCGCTCTCGGCTGGACGATACGCACCCACACGTAGAGACACATCTCTTTCGTGTAGTACAATACTCGCTCTCCGAGATGAGCTTTTCCGCGTTGGCCTCAAGCCTTTGTTGCTTTTCCCGCCCGTCGGTGACGCCACAGAACAACCGTCCATCGCCATCGGTGATTCTTGGCCCTGAGCAGCGAGAAAAGGTGAGGTTTCGCTGTCCCGAGAGGGGAGTGGATCAACGGATGTGCGTTAGCCGCGCGGAGACAAGCCGCGCAACAGCTTTAGCTACTACCTGTCATATCGTAGAGCAATGTACACATGTTTAAGCTGTCGACACGACAGCACAGGCTCGGCGACTTATCAATCAATCAATCACCAGAAGACACGTTCCACAAAACGAAAATGGCGGTTGCCTCGCGCTCTCTACCTTTCTTGTGCTCTTGCGAATGCAGCAGCAAGGGCGGAATGCCCTTGAGACAAGAACAGCTACAGTCGTGGATGGGGTCTTACTCAGCCGTACCATGGGAGGTTTTGGTACAGACACGGCCGGCAATTGTCTCTTGTTCAAATGTGTTCGCTAGGTGATGATGGTGTAGGATAGGGACTCGATTGCAACTTATCTGCCACAACTGAGGTGGAGCTCTCCCTGCTCCATTCTTGTCGTAACGCCATGTGCGTCGACCGCCAGGCGCAGCGGCTAATGGAAGGCTACAGCTCCAACAGTCGGAGGAGCCTAAGCGCGCCCTCGGGAACAACACCCTCGACGGCTACACCGCCGGAGGAGGAGAGGTCTACCCTGCCCGTCAGTCTTAGGATCGCTGTGGGTCGGGCCAAGGTATCAGCTGACAATACCAAATGTAGATTGACTCGAAAGTCAGCTATCGTTGTTCTAGAGAACGTCCTCTTGCAACAATTATGCTGTGCACTGGTCTCAAGCTTGTTTCGGGAGACGAGAAAAAAGTGTGAAAGAAACACTTGGATTACCAGCATGGGACGAAGGAGCCTTTTGTAAGAAGTACAGGCACAAATCACCCGAACTACCATCGGAAAAATATACACCGTAGAAAGAAAATATAACACTTTTCAAAATCGGTACGACTGAGTATCTTTTGCTTTCTTAAAGGAGCAGTCGGACAAATGAGGCTGTAAATCTTAAGTGCAATTCTCGCAATCATGTTTCTGTTCCAAAGCCTTTTTTACATTGTGCTCTATCTGCTGATGTCGCACGGATCTGTTCCCTCGAGGCACAGCCTGACCCGGCTTACCCTGCCCCTGCTAAAATCTTCTCTCTCTGTATCCAACCAGGAGTGGCGGCGACGAAGGGACGAAGGGAACGCTCGGAGGAACACCCGCTCGGTTGCCGTCAGGGTAATATATCCACCAGTGCTTGAAGAACTTACGCTAGCATGCTGCTGTACCAGAGCAATCTAATGTTGAATTCAATACCTGAGAGAAAGAGAGCGCGTCATCCAATAGTTAGAACGCGTTTATCCCCATACGTCGGTGTCTCGAGGAGGTCCCAGTTGGTTACAGGGTTTCGTGACGCTCCCATGTTTCACACTCTTGGACATGCCGCCCGCCGACACTATTCTCTGCGCGGTGTATAGTCTACCTTCGTTCTGGTCGAACATTGGCACGGGATGAGATGAGTGTGCACACCCTTTCTCCGTGTTTGTGCGTAGACCGAGCGGTGAGGAGGGAATGTCGTCACACGTTTCAAAACCTATCTCAGTTTCCCATGTAGACGGCGTGGATTTGTCGACAACGCGTTTCTCACAAGATCGATCCCCGTTCTAGCAGAGTTGAACACGCACCGTTCCATCTATTGGTTGCTTGATCGTCGATAGCTTCGCACATGATGACGAAACACCCCATTCTTCCGCCCCCTTTCACACTACCACCACCAACACCAACAACCAACCATGTCAGATGCACACTTTCGACTTCGGCGAGGTCACGGCCCCCGAGGAAGGTGTAAACAAGACGGCATGATAGGGCGAAGCAACGGACGCACCGCGGGTGGGCGGAGAGGAGCGTGTAGTGAAGTCAACAGAGAAAATGATAAGGCCCCGAGTTGCTGGAACCGCCCTCGTCCCAGAGATTCTCATAAGCACGACTAAGTCGCAGAGGGAGCGAGCGGGGACCGGGTTATTTGTTCTTATTCATGACTACCGAGGCCACAACTCGGTTGTAATGATTTTTTCGTAGAACCCTGAAACCGGAGGTTGTTGATATGAGGACCCAGTTCTTGAATTCCTTTCGTTTTGTACATGTTCGTAGACGCATTCAACTAGAACGATAACGGCCACCGCCCGCGTTCATGCTGTGAGTAAAAGAGAAGGCCGGCGGGAGCCCCTCTGTTGATGTATAGTATGAACGTGTGCATGCGAACACACGGCGTCATCACATGCTAGTCGGGCTACTATGCGTAAACCACGACGGAAACCATTCATTGGACATCTCTTGTGTGTATTCACAACAGACATCAAGTGATTGTCGTATATTATTGTGGCGGACAACAGGTTTGTCAATCTGGTGCGGGTAGTCTCTTGCAGCGACAGAGTAGTCTGATTGTGATGTAACCTTGCTTTCGACGAGCACTTGCTAGCCACGATATAATGTACCCACCGATCGATTGCGGGTTGCACAATGGCCCCCATCGTCCGTTCGGCGTTGTTGTGGACAACCGGTCATCAACGGCAATGCACATCTACGCTGCTGCTGCTGTACGTGGTGCCCCGTTTGCTGCTGCAGTTACTAGACTATATATACTTCTATAGATGGCACCCGAACACGCTACAATGTAGCTTACAGCAGTAGAGCAGAGAGGTCTACAGCGTACTACAGTAGACGTCTGTCTAGACTACTACTGTGTTGCTGACTACACGTGAGAGGTCGGCGCAAACACGATATAATATTCAACGGATGATCTGTCCAAAGTTGCCTGTAGAACAGAACGCAAACCATTGCTTTGATATTTCCCTTTCGGAGCCCTCCCCCGGCTCACGTCGAACTACACTACAACAATGTACTACACTTGCAACAGCTGCTGCTGCAGAACACCGAGACCCACGGCAAACCAGAAAACCAGATTGCGAGATTGCGAGGATGTGAAAACTGAAACGGTTATTTCGAGGCTTTCCACTTCGGTCGCGAGGCGTGTTTTCAAATTCAAATCTCGGATCAGTTCATCAGAGTTCCTCTCGAGCTGTGAGGCCTGAGGCCTGAGGCAGGCAGGAGCAGAGGGTGCTCCACCACCACGCGGCGCTGAGAGACAGCGCATTGAAGATGAGAGACATGGACGATGAAGATATGGACCTGCTGGATCTATTCTCTGGCGAGACAAGGCCATCTTCGTCGAAATGCCATCTTCGAGAGAGAAAAAAGACAGCGGTATGAGAACCCACTGCAGCAGGACACAGCAGTAATACCAACTGCTGTTCTCGCAAGAGGCAGCATCAGCAGCCAGGATTCAACGCCATTACTGCAACCATCCGTCGCAGCCACAAAAGTTAGATGTCAGTTGATGACACAGGAGGTAGTTTTTGTAAGTGCGTTCCACAACAGCTACACGCACCACCCTCAACGTTTGCTGCCGTTTGCAGAGAAAGATCAGGGGGACTCGAGTCGCAGGTCGATTTGAACGCCTTCTTTCACGAACAGCAGACGAAACCTACACAGCGCAGTAGACTACTGCTGTGTCGACTTCACATATCGACTTTCAAAATCCTCTATCTGCATTTTTCTCTTACATAGCGGAAACATCTACTGCTGTAGATAGCAGAACACCTTTGTGCGTTGATGAGAGTCGAGGATGTCGAATATAATATAGGGACGGATTTCTTACAACAGCATGTGGCGAGCTCTGCAGGGCACAACAGCATCGGGGTTATGCTGAAAAATGGCCCGCTTGCAAAGTTGCCCCTGCTACAATATATCTACATCTCCTGGAATGTCTAATAGGGCATTATTACTGTAGACTGTGCACTTATCGAAGGCTGCGAAATCGACGAAGACGGTAACGAGGTTTGATGCGTGTACGCGACCCTCTGGCGAACGATAACCCCGCCCTTCCGCCCCTCTCCCCCTTGCTCCGCTGTTCCCCGTCAAGCAGCAAAAGCCGCAGTCGCGCGGACCCTCAGCACCACCGCCTCCGCCTACACCACCACCACCCTCCACTGCCTCAGCCACCCGCACGGCGGTTCTCCCTCCTTCCGACGACAACAAGCCCCGGAAGCCACCGCCGCGGCGGCCACCGGCCGACTTCACGGAGGCCTTCTCCGGGCTGCGCGTCAGGAACAGGCTCCTCTCCGCCGAGGACATGCGCGTCCGCATGAGGGGCCGCAAGGTGCACCGCCTCGACGCCCTGCGGGCGGTCCCGCCGAGGGCCCTCGAGAGCCAGGACCCGGCCGACGCGTGGGCGGCCGTCGGCGTCCTCGTGTCCAAGTCGCCCCGGCGGCAGGCTGCCAACGGCGGGAGCTTCTCCGTCTGGACGTTGAGCGACCTGTCCCGCAGGGAGAACGAAGTGTCCCTCTTCCTCTTCCAGGAGGCGCTGGGCTCGCACTGGACCGTGTGCGAGGGGACGCTGATCGCCGTGGTTGGTGCCAAGGTGTTGCCGGACAAGGGCGGCGGCGGCGGGAACGCTCCTCAGAGGCTGGCGTTCTCGGTGGACTCTCCCTGGCAGGTGGGGTGCGGTGTCTCGACGGCGGGGGGGGCGTTGGGTGTGTGGTGTGTGTAGATAAATTCCACGAGGGGGTGGTTTTGCGAGCGCACGTGAAAGGCGAGATATAGAAATCCAGCACATCGCCTACCTCCGCCGCAGAAATAGAGGTGCTGTCGTGTTGAGAGCGCAGCTGTAAAATCCCCGAAGCAACAGGTCCCACGGTTGCTCAACAAGGGTGGAAAACCGTGTTTTCGCCACCGTTCAAACAATAGCAACATACCCTCGGTTAACATATCATATGCCATACATATGTCGAGAAGTTTCCTGCTCGCAGCATACTAAATATATATCCCGGGCGAACTCCTCTAAATGAGACGTCACACCAGTAAACACGCGACGTTTTGGTGCTTGTGAAAACGAATCGGCGAGCCAGGTGAACAGGATAGGCATGTCGATGGACTATGGCCTCTGCAAGGGCAAGCGGAAGGACGGCAAGCCGTGCACCATGCCCGTCAACAAGACGGAGGGAGGCGGGTTCTGCGAGTTCCACGTCGTGGCGGCCTTCAACAGGGCGCAGCGCAAGGAACCCGTGGGGAACAAAACCAAGGGAAACACTCAACAACCGGCACTCAGCATGTCCGCGAAGCTTGGCGCATCAGGTAAACGTTGCGTCCGCGTGATGGGTGCGCAAGGCTGCATGCAGCCAGCCACCTTTGTGCGCCAAGAGGGATCTACTTTACTGCCGAGACTTGGAATCGAAATCGATCGGTGGCAATAATGTGTAGAGGACCCGGCCTGCTGGGCCGAAGCGGCCGGCGCGATTCAGATCTGACTAGTGCCGTCCGTGTGCGGCAGTTGTTACCGCCGCGTCGTATCCAAAGAGTTCATAAAAAGAGTATCCCACCAGGCGTCGTTCGGAAAGTCCGCGTGGCCTCACGTCCGAATGCCACCGCTGTTGCTTCGCGCTCGCCCTCTGCTTCCGGGTCCCGAAAGTCCGTCAACAGCAACAACAACAACAACATCAACAACGCCCCTCTCAAAGCCGCGCGGGCTTGCCATCGAGGTCGACTATGCCGGGGCAACGGGCGCAGCAAGGACCCCCGCCTCGAGCCGCGCCCGCACCCACCCTGTCAAGCATCCTAGGGGCAGGGGCGAGAAGGAGAGAGGGAGTCGGAGCCACCCGAACCTTCGGGAGCAGCAGCAGCAGCAGCAGCAGAACTGGCGGCGGCGGCGGCGGCGGCGGCGGCGGCGGCGTAGGCCCGTCGACCGTCCACGCTAAGGCCCTGCGCCCGTCGGCTATGCGCGCGTCCGGCCGCACGACGATGCTCTCTTCACCGCCTCCCGGTCTCCCAGGCGGCGGCGGCGGCGGCGGCGGCGGTGGTGCCAGCCGCTGCGGTACCACCCTGCCTCGTCCTTCTTCCTTCTCCTCCTCCCCGTCGTCGTCGGCAGGCCTCTCGAGCAAGTCGGCGGCGGCGGCGGCAAGCGCTGGTCGCAATGGCAACGGAAACGGCAACGGCGTCGGTCGGTCGGGTAACCGAGGGGCCGCCGGGGAGGCGACCGCAGGGGCGGCGACCGCCGGGGGAGGCAGCGAGGACCTCCTGAAGTTGCCGTGGGCATACGGCGACGGCAAGAAACCCAACAGCAGCAGCAGCAGCAGCAGCAGCAGCAGCAGCCGCAGCAGTAGTAGCGCCGCCTCTGGGGGCGGCGGCCAAGGAAAGACCGCAGCGGGCGGCGGTGGCGGCGGCGGCGGCAGCGGCGCGCCCGGGCCGTCTTCCACCGGGGAGAAGACGAAGGTTAAGGGGCGAGGCGACGAGGAAGGCGCGCTAGGAAAAGACGCGAGGCCGCCCAAGGAGGCGCACCCGGCGGGGTACATGAGTGGTTCGGTGACCGTGCCCGCGGAATCCCAGGTGTTCCTGCAGATGCCTCAGAGGTGTCCCGTGCGCCAGGACGGGACCAGATCGGCCGAGGGCGAGAAGATGCTTGCCGACGCACAGGTTCGGTTCGGTTCGGTTCGTTCCTCGGTTAATTTTTTGAGTGCCTCCGCACCGGGGCCAGCAGGCGATTGCATGTCCCGACGGCACGCCTCGTGTTGCGTTACCTGTCGGTGCGTGTTTACCTTAATCCGGGGGGGGGGGAGTGATAAGCGTCGTGATGCTTCTTCTTCTGGTTCGTGTGTAACCTGGAAGGTTGAGGTAATAGCTGCTTTTTCCCGAAGCAAGCGAGCCCCCGCCTCTTGTGAAGGTTGTGAGCCTCTCCAAAAAAAGATACAAACGCCACAAAAAAAAAACGATCCCGCGACTTACGCGCGCCCCATCGCCATCCTCACACGTAGGTGTTGATGAAGCAGCGCGCCATCAAGGAAAAGGCAGACCAGCGAGGCCTGCTCCTTCGGCCCCAAGACCCAAACTCCGCGAGCAGCATCGGCAAGAAGAGCAGCGACAAGCCGTCGGGTCTCCGGGCCGGAAGCAACAAGCGCCAGGCGGCAAGACCTGGCGCGAACCCCCTTCTCGCAGCAGGCGGCAGGGGCGGCGACGGCGGGGACCCGCTCGCCAAGAAGGTCAAGGTGAGGTTAGACGAAAAGAGCTACTCCATACTGTGGGGTCCATGCGGATGGGAGGGGGAGGAGGAAAGTCGACGGCGAGGCAACACCAGTGTAAGAAAAAGGCAGGGTGTTGACTGGAGATACCGATGCCGGCAAGGAGCCTACCGTGTTGTTGCATGTCGGTGCTACATAGGTTTTGCATTGGTGGGAGTGGGATTCACGGCATGGCAGAGACACCCTTCCCCGGCTTTCGCCCCCCACCGCCACCGCCGCCGTCATCTGAACGAAAGCAGCGGCAACAACAGCTACGAGGGGAAACGGCCCTGACTTTCATTCTTGAAGTCTTCCCTGTCATTTCTGTCATGCCGTGTATGTACCATCCCGTCCTCCCATTTGCGACCCTTGCGTGAAAAAATTCGATTCCCCGCACAGACGATGAGCGCCGTGGAGAAGGAGCTGCTGTTGAGACGGGTTTCCAAGTACGCGGGACTGGCGGAGGAGGTAGGGGACAGGGGAGAGCGGGCTCGCCCGCCGCCGCCGCCGCCGCCGTAGTTGTTGTTGTTGTTGTTGTTGTTGTTGTTTTTGCTTCGAGGTAGACCCTCCTCGGGGGGACGTTTCGTGTACCGTACGACTCTTGTCCAGAACACGACGATGGCCACACACCCACACGTGCAAGTGCAAGTGCAGCCCTTCCTTGCGCTATAAAGTGACGGCATGCTCTTTAGTGTTGCTCTCTCTCGCGTTTTTGCGTTTTTTCTTCGACGTGAGGTGTTTTGTGCTATAATAGGCGGCGAAGAAGTCTTGTGGGCCGCGTTGGCACGCGTGCCAGAACCTCACAACATGAACCTGTTGTTTGGTGCGAACGAGAGGTTGATTGTTTGTCCGTTTCGCCTTGTTGCGATGGAGGCGTTTTTCTTTCTTTTTTTGTTGTTTCCCGCCCCGTGACTACAACACGGAAGACAAGAACCGTGGAACAAGATTAATTTACTATGCTTGGTACACGAAGAAGATGGTAAGTGCCGATGAACGGATACTGATGCTGCTGCTGCTGTTGTTGTTATTGTTGGGGATGGTGCTGGCTGAGAAGGAGCGTGCGAAGGACGCAGACCGAAGCGTGCAGCGGCTGGAGCAGCGAGAGGCCATGGCGGACAAGGCGGAAGAAGTCACCAAGATGGTCGTCACGGTCTTCGCCTGCACACAGGCGAGTTGTAGAATTATGATTAGAGTTTTTTTCACACAGCCAGCAAGCACAGCCGCCGGGGTTCTCTTCCAGTGAGAAAAACACGGCATGCGTAGAAGTTTTGTCAGCTTGTTGTACAGCTATCGCGTGTTTCGTGTTGAAAGGAAGTAAACCACGCTCGGGTTGTGCCGAACTGGGCTTGTTTGCCGCTCGCTCGCTGCGAAAGCGGCCGAGGGGCGTTTGCTAAACAGGGACCAGCTAAAGCCTCTCCATGCTCCCCATCTCCTTCTTGGCATGTTAAAGTTTACCGGTAGTGCCCGCCCGTGTACGGTATTTTATTTTCCAACGGCCTCCCTTACTGTCGCCCCCCCGTCCCATCCCGTCCCATCCCGTCCCATCCCGTCCTCGTTTCCTCGCCTGCCCCGCGTGCCCGAACGCCTGGCAATACAACGCACAGTGCAAGACCAGACGCAGCCGGTTCAACAAGCGCTGCAGGGATCTCGGGCACGACCAGAAGGGCGTCAAGGCCACGCTCCGTTTCTTCGAGTGCACCAACTGCCGGAAGCGCTGCTCGAGCACCGAGCGCGTGCCGCGGACCGGGTGCGAGAGCTGCGGCAGGCACGACATGTGGAAGCGGTGCGGCGCCCGGCCTGGCCGAGGGCCCGCCGAAGGCCCGCGGGACAAGCGGTTTGTGGCCGCCTTGTCGGAGGTGGGTGTCGCGGGTTGGTTGGGTATTGGTCGTCGTTCGCTTAATGGTAGCCGGGATCTACTGCTGTTGGTGGCGATGGTGTTGCTGTGGCCCGTGATGTTGAGTTGCGTCATTCCTTTTTTCAGGCACTATCTCCCCAGATGTGTAGATAGTAATCTTCGCGCATTCAAGTTGGACGTCGTTCCTGATGTTCTTTGCCACCGAAAATCCTGTTGTGTTTTTTATCTTGGCCTAGGATCATTTATTGAAAGTATTGGATTTTGGATGAGGCCTCCAGCTCTGAGGCCGGCGGTCACATGTAGATCACTGCCGGCGACGGCGCGGGTGACGGGGGCGCCCTCGTACTCGGCATCTGTCGTACTCGGTGTTCTCTCGTGTTCGAGGTAGGAAGAAAAACAATGAGCGGCTGTCTGTATGAATATGTCAACATGTTATATATCAGGGCCGACGCCTACATTCCTCCATTATTCGTGCCGAATTGGGATTCGTTTGTAGCCCAATTATACCGCCTGTTTGTGTGGATTTGTGGCTACACTCGATGGAAAAAGTTGGGGCTCCTGCTGCACGGAGATACTCGATGAAACGATGACACGGTGCCCCCCCCCCCCCCACGGTGTTGGGGAGCATGCTTCACGGCAAGTCCATCAACACGAGAACGACCCCCGGCAAACACCGTCTGTCTGTCTCACTGCCGCGCACCCTGCTCCCTCCCTCCCTCCCTCCCTCCCTCCCTCCTACCCCTGAACGCGCTGCTGTGCGCCCCAACGATGTAACGAACCGAACGTGACACAGTGGACGGACCAAAGGGACCTCAGCCTCGCGGCGCCGGATTGTCGATGACGCTTTCTACTACGGTTTTTGGCTGCTGTGTTCTTGGCCGTGTTGCTTTTTCTGTTCTATCGGCGTTCTGCGTTGCCAGAGCGGTGGTGAGAGACTGGAGAGGAGATAGGGAGAGGGACAGAGAGAGGGGCGGGGCCAATAGAGAAAGGTCGGGTACATACCGAATTCATGTGCACCTGACAACAACCATTCAGAGTTTTTTTTTTTTTTTTTTTGGCGTGATCGCCGGTTGTCCAGCAAGCGTTGTCATAAGACTCGTGGAGAAATGAGAGGCTCGGTCCTCTCACGTGTGGATGACAGGTCTGTAATGTAAAACAACAGTAGGATCCATGCGGACGCATCCAACGTGTAGGAAGAACCGACTAGTTCCGACTACCAGCGTCGTCGCAGAAAAGCACGGCGGGATTCACGGATTTTCCACATGTGCTACTTGCTGGCCAGACAGTCGGACCAATACTACCGTGGCACCTCCTCGCCCACTCTCTTTCTCTGGACCCTCTCTCCTTGCCCCAACTAAGGGTGGGTGTGTTTTTGTTCTTGTTTAAGGTATTTTTTAATTTCAGTTTTGGGGACGCAGTATAAACACGTTAACGAGGAAAACATTGTCTGCCCGCCGTGGCGGGTAAAAGCGACTACGACCTTGGAGTCACTCTGCCACGTCGCCTACGGAAGGAGCCTAAGTCATCAGACACCCAAAGATGCCGTGCCCCAGAACGTCTCCGCTGTGAAAAGCGGCGAATCAATGTCGGGTGCCGAGGATCACAGGCAGCAACGGCCTTTGCTCTTCTTCTGCGTGGAGGGTGATTTCTCTCTCGCTCGCTCGGTCGCTGCCGCTATGTTGAGAAAACGCGACGACGGCAAACAGGGAAGCAATCGCAATCGGCGAAAATCCAAAACACGTGCGCCACACCGGCCTCTCGAAATATCACCCCCGTCACCGTCCTCCGAATTTATCTTTCCCCACCTGCAAAATGTGGTTTCTGACGCGGCCAAAAAAACGGCCTTGGTGCAGTTTTTTTGTCATCATGCTATGGGACAGAAAAATCTAGTCGCAGAAGACTTGAACTATACCGTTTTTTTCGTACATGTATAACAGAAATCCGACAAAAACTGAGACTGGTTTTCTCTACGCTCACGAAACCCAGAGAGGCCGTTCGTTCCCTCTTGGCGGTGACCTCGCGTGACCGTGACCAAACTGACACACACGTTTTGTAGCACCAAGTCTAATGCGGGTCGTCTCGTCGAGTTGACGGAATGGCGGCAGGTTCAGCGCAACGCAACAACTGTAAAATCAAGCCATTTGGGAGCCCTAATGCAAGTCAATCGAGTGAAAACGAAAAGAAGCAACCAATCTCATGCGAAGAGGGACCCTCCCACTGATGAAATTACTTGACCTAACTACGTTCTGTTTGGACTACACCCAAGTGATTCGCCCAGCTCGCAAAATACCGCACTAAATTACACGGGATACCCACCTTCGCACAGGGAAACCGGAGATCCACGATGATGACGCTAATGGGCATACCAACGTCAGAGAACACGAAAACGACTTACCACGAAAAGGTGATGGGGATGATTCCGAAAACTGGTGAGGAGCGTCGCTACCGAAAGACGAGACAACCACCCCGAATACAAGTCACCATGTGCCGACAATACAATATAACGAACACTACCCGTAGCTTCTTCCTCCCTGTTCACTGTCGAAAAACGGATTCATGTTTCCAATTATTAATGACGACATCGTTCGTTCCAGAAAAAAAACAAGCACAGAAGATAAAAAATAATATGTATGGTGATGACCACCGGACCGCGAAAACACGCAGCTACAGTATATGAATACATCGGGAAAAGCGCAAGAAGAAGCAAATACCCATGCCGAAAAATACCCCCCAAAGCACGAAGAAACGACTAGTCTATCTACCGACCGAGGTTATTCTTGTGTGATGACGAAAAATGAAAATACACGTAGTAGTGTATTTTGGCGCATAATACTGGAAAACTGGCGTGGCGCCACCGAACGAACCAACCACTGCTGTAGAGGAAATACACTCTACCAAGACTACACACGCAAGGGATTTAATTGTCGGGATAATAACGTTTCGTGGGAAATCGTAATAAAGCGCTCGCCGAGAGACACGAATTGGCAAAAAAATAACACAAAACAAACGTACCACACAAAAAATGCAGGAGCCGCAAAAAGAAACACAAAAAAAAAAACGATTTGCTGACCAAATAAGCGCGCGTTTACCCAAAATACAATCAAGCCTACAACACCTTGCCCCCCGGAAAAGAAATGCTTTTTTCTTGAGGCCGAACGTCCGTGTCGGTCGAATCCTCGCCACTACCAACAACCACAGGAGGACGATCAAAACAACGTGATCGTCATGACTAGGCTGGCGACGACGAAAAGTTTCGCATGTGCGAAGAAAGGGTCACTCCCACAAGGCAAAATCCAGCAGCGGTGGCGTTAGTTGTAGCAGCTGCTGTTGTTGTTGCAGATTTTTTCACGATTGAAACGCCAACGCAGGAGACGTACTGCAACGAACGGCGGGCTGCCGCTGCTGCTGTGCAAAACCACAATCACTCAACTACCAAGAAATCGCAACCAACCGCAGAAGGGTTAGACTTGAGATGGTTGAACAGATAGACCCCTCCCCTCGCCTACTTCACACCAGACCAGGAGACATGCAACAATCTTGGCCGTCTAAAACGGCTTACAGTCTGTTAACTTCCTAAACTTTAGGGGCACAGTGAAGACGCACACAAGGCGAGAGATAAAACCGTCGATCGCCTTACGACGTACCACACGCTTCCACGGTGCCCCCCCCCCCCCCA